GAGCATTGGATCGTGCTAAGGCGTTTGCTGAGCGCATTAACGAACCAGAGGTCTGGTCAAAGCTGGCCAAGGCTCAGCTAGACGATGACAATGTGCACGAGGCGGTGAATTCTTACATCAAGGCCAACGATCCCGCGCATTATTCAGATGTTATCGCGGTGGCTCAACGCTACGGAGCATTTGAAGACTTGGTCCGGTACTTGAAGATGGTCAGGAAGCAAATTAAGGAACCTCACGTGGACACAGAGTACATCTATTCACTGGCGAAGACGGGGAAACTCCCGGAGCTCGAAGAATTCATTGCGGCCCCAAATGTCGCGAACATTCAGAGCATCGGAGAGCGCCTTTTCGACGAAGGGAATTATGAAGCGGCCAAGCTACTGTTCAACAATATCAACAATAATTCCAAGCTTGCGTTGTGCTTTATCAATTTGAATCAGTACAGAGAGGCTGTTGATGCGGCACAGAAAGCCAATTCGATTTCGACTTGGAAGGAGGTGAACATTGCTTGCGTCAAGGTTGGCGAGTTCCGTCTGGCGGCCATCTGCGGCTTGCATATCATAGTCCATCCTGATCACCTGGAGGAACTTATCCAGCACTATGAGCGGGCGGGCCACCCCAAAGAGCTGATGCAGTTGCTGGAACAAGGCTTGGGGTTGGAGGGTGCGCACTCGGGGATCTTCACGGAGCTTGGCATCCTTTACTCCAAGTACCTCCCCGAGAAGTTGATGGAGCACCTGAAGATCTTCCACAACCGGATGAACGTGCCCAAAATGCTTCGGGCGTGCGAAAAGGCCTTGCTTTGGGACGAGACCGTTTATCTTTACAAAGAGGACGGCCAACCCGATAATGCCGTCAAGACAATGATCGAACACCCTATTGCATTCTACCATGAGCTCTTTTTGGACTGTATTCAGAAGGCCCGCAATCAGGAAGTGTATTACCGGGCAATTGCTTTCTATCTCGAGCAACAGCCCATGCTTTTAGAACGCCTGCTTACCCTTCTCACGCCCAACTTGGACCATGCAAGGGTCGTCCACCAGCTACGACGCGCCGAGAACCTCCCATTGGTTTTGCCGTACCTTAAGTCAGTTCAAAAAGAGAACATCTCGGTCGTGAACGAGGCTTTGAATGAGCTTTATATTGACGATGAGGATTATACAGCGTTGCGAGAGTCCATTGACAGTTATGACAACTTTGACCAGATCGCACTCGCTGTGCGCATTGAAAATCACGAGTTGCTGGAATTTCGCCGGTTAGCAGCAGCTCTCTACAGGAAGAATAAACGCTGGGCCCAGTCTGTTTCTCTTTCCAAGGCGGACAAGATGTACAAGGACGCAATCGATACTGCTGCTCAATCTGGAGACGGAGATCTGGTGGAGGAGCTGCTCCGCTTCTTTGTTTCAGTGCAGGATCGAGAATGTTTTGCTGCCGTCCTCTTCACATGCTACGAGCTTATCCGGCCCGATGTGGCTTTGGAGCTTGCTTGGCGTAATAACTACTACGACTTTTTCATGCCCTATATTATTCAGTACCTGCGACATGCGCATGAGAGGATCAAAGCACTGGAGGCCCGCACGGCTTCTCTGGACGTGGCGCATAAGGAGGCCGAAAACTCGGCAGCCGCTGCTGTGGGGGATGCCGCGGTCTCTCTCGGGTTGTACGGTAATCAACTTATGCTTACAGACGGTGCGCCAGCACTGCTAGCCAATGAGGCATTTAACCCCATGACGGGCTATGAGCATCAAGGTATGGGCGGTGTGGGAGGAGGAGGATACGCTGGCACCGGCTTTGGCATGGCCCCGCCTCAAGGATACGGCCAACAGCAACCGCAGCAACAAGTGCCGTATCCTCCCCAAAGCGGGTTTCAGGGCGGATTCGGGCCTCAAGGAGGTTACGGGGGATCATGGTGAGTCACCTTCACCGAGTGGGGGGGGGGATGTACTAAGTATTTCTCGAAATGGGTGGACAATACAAGGCGAGAAAGAGAAAGGAAATGAAGAGATGAAGTTAACTCCAAAGAGTATTTTGTCACGTGCCATTGTGACTGTGAAGTGACGTCTGTCGGGTGATGTTATTGATCCCCCTCGTGTGCAAGGAAAAGGCCATTAAGGAAGACAGCAGGCGAAAGGGCCGCATAGGGGAAAGGAAAAGGGAGTCAAGGAGATACGGTGCAATCAGGCAGCAACATTATTTTTCTTGGAAAAAACAAAATCAAACACGCCTCCAAAGATATCGGCAAGCGTGTCCTCATTTTTAGCAAATCGTTTGTGGTCCTCGATTGCTTTCTGGGTTTCCCTTGTTGACTTGCATCTCGTATCACTGCTCGTCCGCAGGACTCTTAAGACGCTTTAACCGCTCTTCACGTCTACTATTCAGGATGACTCTGCACATTAAAGTTGAGAAGGACGAGGAAAATGACGGGTGATGTTGACGGTGCCGTCCGTGGAAGCGAGGGCACCCATGCTTTGACTGTATGTCTTTATGATGGTCCATTTTCTTGGTGTGGCATGCTTCTTCGTTCCGAAATCCCATGCTCAAGATGATTTGCCCATGCCAGCCCCCCGCAAAGCCTGTAGTTTGGAAATACACACCTCAAGGCGGTGGGAGGTGTCTGTGCTCACGAGCAGGTCGTGTTTGATTTGGCGATTCTCGGTTGGAAGCACAGCCGCAATCCAAAGAGAGAGGGCCTCCGGTGTCTGCGGGCCCGGCATCTCCCCATACCGGTCCACGACGACGGCTTTGATGTCACGTCGCTCCAGAAAAATCGCGTGAGCCATTTCTCGCGCTTTTTCGCTTGCCTGCCGCAGTGCCTGACTGGCCTCCGCAGATTTTGGGGACTCGTCCCGCAATTCCTTGAGCCGACAGTAGCTCAAGCCCCCGGTCCCATCCTCCACGTAAGGATCCTCCGCGATCGTGAAGCGTCCCGCAATCCGTGCCTCCAATTCGCTTCGTCCGTCGCGCATGAATCTCACCTCCTTCAATTCTGCTATCAGCGCAATATCACCAGCTTTGGCGCGATAGTTAGAGTAATTGGGCACATAGGCGAATCGTCGGCTGCCATTCACGATGCGCTGCATCATGAGCCGGTACCGGGGCTCGAACAGGTGCAGGCGCAGGGCCTCGCCGGGAAAGATGGGGAGGTTATAGAAAAAGATGGGCAGCAAGAGCTTCAATGCCTCTCGTTCCTGTCTGGTTTCTTCCAGTCGCTGCTCGTACAGGGCGGGAAACGCTCGCTTCGCCAGTCGCGTCAGAAGTCGAGTCTCGGCATGGTCCTCAGCGTTTATCATACAAACGGCACGGCAGACAGGACACTTCGTCTGACGTTGCAGCGCCCGGACCAAGCAAAGTCGACAGAGACTATGCCCACAAGGGGTTGTTACCGCTTCACATAGCAGGCCAAGACACACACCACATTCCAAATCCCCCAGGGTAAGCATCTCCCCTCGTGCTGGAGAAGCTAGCGCGTCGAAAAATGTTGGAGTCAAGGGCCGTGAGGGTGGTGCATGGCTGCTGTCATGGCTGCTATGATTTGTACTACGATTGCAATCGCAGCTGCTATTGCTGCTGTGGCTGCTATTCCAGGCACTCCTGTTCGCATTGTAGCCTTGCCTGTCCTCCGCTGGCGTGGCGGCCGCTGCGACTGGGAAGACCGCGGCCGGGACAGGTTGTTCAGGGGATCGGCTGCGCGTGCGAACCATACTAGGAGTCCGGGTCGAAGGCTGATGAGTTGGTGTAGAAGGAGGATCTTTTAAACGGCGTGTGCTTTGATATGATGACCTGGTGGAAGTAGAGGCAGCAGGGCGAGATGCGAGAAAGATGGCACGACATGTTGGAGTGAGAGAGCTCGTGACAAGCGCGATAGAGACCACTGCCAAACGTGACACCAAGTTTGCAAACTTAGCTTCGTTGTTGACATGGGTGGCCACACGAGTCAGTCTTGAAAAGCAAACCACGTGCCTGACGCCGGGAGTCGGTCATGATGAGAAGGAACAAAGTCGCTGACAGAGGCGCAGAGTTGCCATTTGGGGTGCATCGAGGGGAAATTGCGCGGAGGGAGTGGGGGAGAACGACGTTTGTGCGATTTCACGCGATGTGGTCCACTTCTGACGTGCAGCTACGTTTTTTCCCCGCGTCGGCAAATAATATGTTCTGCATTTTATGCATGGGGTCTCACGCTCACACAATCATCTTGTCTGGGTGGATACGTGGCGTGGCAGAGGAATGAGTACGTGGTCCTGGCGATTCAAGGTTCGACAGGTCGCCCCCTTTGAAATCTACTTTATGACAGAACAGTATGACAGAACAGGCAGCTAATTAGGTGCCCCGGAGAGGTTTAATAATATATGGTGATGTGCCCCAGCGAGATGTAATAATATATGGTGATGTGCCCCAGCGAGATGAAAGAAATAGCATAAAGGTAAAAGAAGACATGTCTTATTGCAGGAGGTTTCTTGTCACAAGATTTACTGAAAACGTACAATAATGTGCATCGCTTACTTGTGTTTGTACGAGGAGTGTCCGAAGCTGAAGACTTGTAAGCGTACAAGGCACATTGAGGTAGAGCGCCCCATCCTATCTGAGCATTCATCTCAGATTTGCGGTCGTTGTTTTCCTGAGGTATGTGCTAGGGGAAGTGAAACCCTACCCCTTCTGTGTGGTGCGCCCTGCCTCCCTAGTACGCCAATCTAGTTCTCGGAGGTCATGGTCTAGGACTCTTGTCGTCGGCAGCCTGTACGCCTTTTTCCACTTTCTCATCATACTCAGGTTTTTCGACAGCTTGTCCCTTACGACGACCAAAATTCCTCGTCTCGGGAAAGGCATATGCAAAATTGGCACGGTCATCTCCGCCTGCTTTATCTGCCCTGACCGGGGGATAAGGCATGGGATTTGAAGGACACGATCTTGTTATAGCCGATGCATAGGCCTCACGGGTGTGTCGCATGTAAAGTTCTTCTTGCAAAGCCTCCAACCACAGGCCAAGAGCGTCAACCAGAGGACCGATAGCTCTCTCGTTCATGTGCACTCCGTCATTGTGCAGCGCGAGGCCGCGCGCGGCAGAGACTGAGTCCCACTTTAAGACAGACCCACTGACCAGACTGACCCCGCTGTTGAAGCACATGTTGAAGAAATCGGGTTCGAATGCCTTTCGCGGCTTGTCGGCTATTACCTCCTCCAAGTGCCGCTTCATATGCATGTTGAAGTCAAGACAATGCAGGCGGCGTCGAGGGCGAGGAGGCCCCGATGAGGTTAGAGAGGAGCGATGATGGCCTTGCCGAGCTCGCCAATATCGATGACCCTGCTCGTGCTGCCAGTCGTCGGCGTCTCTTTCCTCAGTCTTGCCCCCAGGCCAGCATGTCTTTGGAAGCTCGGAGCTGGACAAAGCCGGCGGAAGAAGAACCCCTGCGCCGGTAGTCACCTCCATTCGTCCATCTGCACCCTTTTTTTCTTGTGTGACGAGATTCTCGACCCCCTTCTCCCTTCGCTTGTGCGTTATTCGCCGCACTGTGGCCCGAATGTCGTCACATACGCTGTCAACCAGCTTGTTCTCGAGGGAGTCGGGGCACTCGGCAATCATCGGGGGAGTCACGCAGCAAATGTCGATGTATGACGAGACCTCGTGCGCATAAATGGTAGCCAGCAGGTCGTGAAGGATCTTGGTGTACTCAGAAAGGAGGGGAAGCTCCCTGAGGAAGGGATTGTAAAGGCGGATTAGAGCCCGAGTCGAGGCATTCAGGTTCGCCAGACAGTCGTTCGTGCCGCCCAATATGACCACACCCACAACGTCCCCGCCAAACGCTTGGAGCAGTGGTATAGTACGACGTCGAATACTTTCCAGTACCTCGCCGTTTCGACCTGCATTTACCAAGCGGAAGGCCGGAAATCTCGCTTGGAGTACCTCCACATAGTTAGCGCCGTACATCCCTTGCGTATGGGAGTCGCCCATGACAAGCACGACTGGTCGACGGACCTTGCAAGGATACAAAGCTGTCGTGCCGTTACGCCACCAATTTCCGCTGCCACCCATGTCTTCCTGGGGGAGCTTGCGGATAGACTTGCCTCGATTGCATTTGCGAATATGTCCCAGCATTTTTGATTTCAGAGAGCTGAGAAGAGGAATAACTTTCCAGGAGGAAAAGATAATATTTAATAAATTTTATGATTATCTTAAAAACTCTCATGAGATGAAAGAGTTTGGTGTAGCGTGGGAACATGTGGGATTATTTAGAAACTACGAGATATATGTCAAACGAGTAAATGCGTTTGAATCTTCATCTCAATGCAAGCTTGAAGTGTGATGATCAAATCGCACAAATGAAAGATAAAGTGTGGCTCGTGGGCACACGAGACAGTCGGAAGCAGATATTCGGTGCGTGGATGGGGATGAAATATGGGCCAAAATAGTTGCGCCATATTACCCGACAGGAAAGAAGAGCAAGCAAGTAGGTAGCACTGAGCAATGATTTCGTAAGAGCCTGAAAACAACGTACCAAGCTCATCTAGCACAAGTGTTTCACAGCCAGTGCAAAGAAAGTTCTTCTCTCCTACTTCCCTCGTAGCACACGCCTTGCCCCGCCATTGGCGATAAGATACTTCTGTCGTGGGTGTCTCAAAACCACTCAAAACCAACGCGAACTTCCCGACTCACGTCACACGACGAATAACAGAGATGGAAAACTGATAGCCGTTTGAGTCTATGTGGGAGTGGGAGATGATGACGACTGGGGTGATGCGTTGGAATGAAGGCTCCTGTCTGGCCACAAGAGATGCGTAAAATCCTTCGCACTGTCGGCCGAACTTACGATGGGGAAGTCAAGTTTAGCCCGTCAGTTTGCCCGGCGTGAACTGCGATCAAACTCAGTCCATGGGATGGAAGATCCTGCAAACGAAGGGACGCCTCAACGACCTTTCGGCGGTACCTGTCAGGCACACCCAATTCGGACCAGCACATTCCACGCCCGGAAGTCAGGCGCTCCAGAGCAGCGGTCGGGTTCCCATGTTCACGAAGGAAGGGACAAAATGCTGACTCGACTTTCTTGTAAGCTTCAAGAGAAGCGGCGCACATTTACCTTTGGCTTCGAAATCGATGAGGACGCTGCCAGGACGCGGGACCGAAAGCATGACCCACCGCTCGAAGATATTGTCCGGGACTTGGGCAGCTGGAACCTTGGCAAAGACGAGCATGTCAAGAAGCGTTCAAAGAAGAAAGAAGGGAGGAAGAGGAGAGACAAGGATCGAGCAGATAAATCCGCGTATCGGAATAATTCAAAACCGAGCGGACACCAGCTGCCAGGCGTCATTCCTCCGTTGTCTCCATCTGACCAGCCATCTATTCACACGTCGGTACAACTACACCCGCAGCCTGTGATAGGTAAGTGTTTTAAGGACATAGTATTTTCCTAAGTGAATTTGTAAAGATCCGTTTTATCTCGATGATGAAAAGCGAATTCCCTTAATCCATTCGCAGATCAAGCTTATAGCCTGTCGAGTACGCCAACTCGCTGTGCTACTGCAGCTCCAATTTCCTTGGATGTCTGAGAGAATTTGAACTTGAAATATTGAACATCACATTTGTGTATGCGTCGTCTCTTTGATGAAATTCACATATCACTTGTTTTCCTTTTACACGTATGTATTCTCCAGAGGGTGTGAACGAGGACGACCCAGAAGTTCCTACTGATCAAGGCTTGTATTTGAGTTTGCAGCCAACACGTGCGAGTCGCCGAGATTCAGAAACCAGTGCCGCGAGCAGGAACAGCAAAAGCAGCAAAATTGACTTTGATGAGCAGGATGCTCGTATCATTCATTTGGACCACTGGGAAGAGGCATCTACAGAGAAGGAAAAACTGCAAAAGCGTTTTGGGCAAGGGACTCGTAATTTAATCGCCATTTCTCGGCGCAATGAGCAGAAGGGTGCACGTGTTATACGGCGCGATAAAGTTGTATGTCCTTTGATGTCTAAAGAGCTCCCCAGTGCGGTTTCCATGAGTAACAAGCCTGTGGCTAATGCCTTCTCGTTCGGATTCGCGTTGTAGATTAGAATTCAAGAGGTCTTGTTACCATGTAGGGGTTGTTGCATCGGACGAAAATATGATAAATGACATTTTTGAAGCGTTGTTTTTTAATTCTATTGGGTAGAGTTTTGGCTCGCTAAACGAGATATTTTTCTTCTTGTGCAAATTTTCTAATCCTGCAATGATGTTACTGTGCATCTTATGCAAATAATTCCGTGGTTGTATTTCACATCCTTTTTCCAATTGTTTATTGTCACGTCGCTTCCAAGAACTCTACCATACGTCCTTAAGTCAATTACTTATGTCTCTTCTATACTCTTTTTTATGGGAATGAAATAACGGAAGAACATCGCTTCGAACAGCTCTGGCATAATTTGAAAGACCAATCACACATGTCTCTTTTGTTTTCACTCATGGAAATGATCTACTGAAGGAAGACACGTAAACGGGAGTTACAGAATGAATGACTTGCGCGTCGGGAATGCTTTCACTCAACACGCCGGAGATACCTTAAATAATAGGATCGATCCTATTTCCTAGATGCATTTTTCGGGACTTTTCGAATTTATCTTTTCCGGTTTAAATACATCTAATCACGGAAAAGGGGTCTATGTAGCTTTGAAACGTTACACATATTCCCTCCCGTTTCACGCTTTCAGTCCGTTAGCCGTTGCCCGTTCACTTTTGTTCCTTGCATTTTCCCCACAAGATACTTACGCTCATACCTCACCGAACTTCTGTATGGTCGTCTTAGCCTTACGAGATATCTATCTTGCCGGGTTGACGAAAGCCCCTTTAAATTGCAGGAAGAAGCATTTTCGGCCTCAAAGAACTCCATTCCGGCATTTGAACCGGGGCGCCACGTAACGGCGCGTAACGGCTCCCTCATCCTCCTAACTTCTATTCAATACTCTTTGTTTGTCAAGTTGTTTCTTGCTTTCACGGTCGTAAGTATGTCTTTCATTTGACCATAATTGGTCACTTATCACCACAAGGCTTGATTTATTTCTAATCGCTCATCAACCTTCGAAGGTGTAACCAATATAATGCCACCAAGCTATGGTGAGGGAGGGATAACCAGGTCTTTATGATCCGTGTCTTATATCTAAGCTGCTCAGTAGGTGTCATCATATATATATGGTAGCCATGAATAATATTGCGCTACGATGAGTATTTGATGAGCAGCTGTTCTCACTCTCTCTGAACTCTTCGATATTGATGCAGGAATTATGATGGAGCTAATCCGTACGAGTGAGTGTGACCTTGCAGATCGAAAGAGTAAGTCTCGATTGGAAAATATAATAGATATAGAACCTTCTTTATCGGCAGCCGTCGTTGGAAACGAACTTGTCGTGTCACAGGTGGAGGCATATGGCTGTCGAGGAATGATTAATTTTGGAGGGAAATGTGCCTCTCCGTGCTTATCAGCGCGTACTTACACGGTCTACTTAATTCGTGTGCGCTGGAAGGGGCGCCAATGGATTGTGCGTCGTCGATTCCGCGAATTTATTGAAATCAATGATCTCATCGTGGACAAAGAATTGCACGCCATATTTCCGCCCCGCTCCTTGTGGGCCAAAGGTACGTGGTGTATTTTCTTATTATATATCGATATGAAGGCGTAAAATTGTTCGATACAATCCTATCAAGCATTTTCTCTGCAATCGTTGTAAAGCTTGAGATTTACTTAACTAGTTGCTTCTATGCCGTGCATAGTAGCAATATTATCATCTGTATGTTTATATTTTATTTATGTTTCGTCTATATTTGACAGCTGGACTGGCTTGTGTTCTGGAGACTCGCCAGAGCCGGCTTGCCTACTACATCAACGAACTAGCACATAAAGTGGTTAACGAACCCCGCAAGCGAGATATTCTTGATTTTTTTCAGGCCGTGGATAGCTCCAACTGTGAACTAGAAACTGTCTCCCTTTCTTTTTCGCACGACGAGAAGGGAGAGCGAGGAAGCTCTGTCGAAGCAGGAATGCGCACAGATGTGAGAATACAGGCTCCGGCAGCTGGCATTTTTCTGCTCGGAACTAGCGATCACTTTTTTCTACCTGCATCGTTTCCCGCTCAAGAAAAGGCAGCTCTTGATCGTCTAATGTTGACCCTCAAGAAAGGAATATGTGTTATAAAGGTAAGCGAAGGATTACCGTCACTTGCTCCGTAGGGACTGATTTTTGACTGGCAGGTCACTACCACTTTTTGGCGGACTCCGACTCTAGATTATACATTACTCAAATTGTTGATTTTTGAATGTATGATTCTAATCATTTCGATCAAATCAATTCATATTTCGGAAAGCACGGCCGTCGTGGGGTACCCAAAAAAAGACTCATTTTTTGCAATGAGGACTGTACACGCCTTTACTGGGCGTCAGATCGCAACCAGGGCAAGCACAGAAACCTATCTTCCCTTGCTATTACCGACTTGAGAGATGTGCGGAAAAGTACGGCTCCTGATCCCGAGCACCCCGGTCTGTTGGGCACTGCAACTTTACGTCGTCGTTGTTCCTCCGCGATTCTTCCTGTACTTCTCGCGACGGCAGGTAATCATCACGGTCAACAACCCATTCCACGTGCTTTTTCGCTTATAACAACTGCACGCTCGTTAGACCTGGAGGCCTTGACTGCAGAAGAATTCACATTACTAGTTGACGGCTTCCGTGCCGCCCTGCGCCATAATGTGAGTGGACAATTGATTCTACGAGGGGAAGGGGAGTACGGGACGCCTCAAAACTACAGAAATTAAATCTGTACAAAGGAAATGGACATTGGCGTCGAAAGAGGAAAAGAAAAGCCTTGTCTTAGAAAACGTTGGTTTAAGTATATATGAGCGCACCTGCCGTGAGCTGACATCCACAGGCTATAAGCTCACATTGATGAGTGCATCCAACTCACCCCAGACCCGAAAGCTGCATCGTGAGATCCACGTCTGAGAAGCTGAGTCCATCGGCGTGCATCCTGCTCGCTATCAACAGCCAATATCATGTCTTTCTCCCCACCATCTGGACGAGAGACGGATAGAGTCAATGAGCCTCCCCCTTCGTCGTTCACGCTCATGTTTTGGAGGCTTGTCTCATCCTCTCGTTCTGGCAGTCGTTGAGAACG